GATTTGCCAGTTGTGCGGGCCCAGACTGGCCAGCTGGTGACCTCGACTTCGGTTTGCGATTTCGCCCCCTATCACTGCCGAACTGCAGGATTTGAGGGGGGCGGTGGACCACTTGCAGTTGATGCAGACGCAAATCTCTCGGGAAAGAGATGCAGAAAAGGCCCGAGTTGAAGAACTTGTCATTCGTCTGGCCAAGCAGCAAGAAGCACATGACCTACGATCCCGAGGCCTAGAGCCACGGCTGGGCCGGTGCCCGCAGCGTGCCCATATGACCCGCGACGGCGTTGTCAATGTCCAACAGTGTGTGGGGAAGCTGCAGCAAGACCACCCGACCACTGTCGACTTCATTGACAAGCATGTGAACAGCCTCGCTCTTCACGCGCTACCGCCACCCACAGCGCCCGCAGTTGGTGCAGACCCACGCCATGCGGCTGCTATCGCTGATGGCAACGTCCGTGCGGACCACCCGCGACGCGCGTCGCCTGGTGCCGCCTCAGCGGCTGCCTCTACCGCGCGCGTCGACCACGACGAGGTTTGCTGTCGTGCGACCTCGTCACCAGCTGCAATTCCATATCAAAAACTGTCACACTATTTTTCTGGTGGTGTACCCCTATCAAAGAGTCTGACACTGTTCGCGTTCCTCACCTGCCGAAGATCCCGCAGGTGGACGAATGGCAACAACATGTCCGAGAAGGCTTTGGAAGTGCCTCTGGACGTCCGTCCAAGGCCTGCGCATTCCTCTGCGTCGCTGAATGCCCAGATGTTAAGTGTGAAGATTTTGCGGACAGTGGCGACATCGAGAGCGTCGACTGCAAGCTTGCGACCGCGCTCGCTGCCATTCTGTCATCTGATCTGCGCTATCAGGTCAAGGGCCTGAAATGCGCGGGGCGCGCGGCAGTGCGCGGGATGAGGGGCCGCCAAATCTATTGGCTTATTCTGCGGTCCTGCATAGCCATCGACATGGACGGCGCCATGCGCGTCTTTGAGGGACTCCCGAACCTTCGTATGCGTGAACATGATCTTCAACCCCCAAAGGAATTTGGTGACTTTTGTTTCTTAGGGCCCTGTTGGCGGTCGGCTGGGAGTACTCTTGGCCGTCTCGGATGCATCGTAGGCCGTCTGGAAACGATCTTGGGTGGTCGTGGGGCTGCACTGGGCTGTTTCGGCGCTCGCTCGACGCTGTGCTTGTGTCTTCTTGGCCCGTCTTGGGGTTCTTGGAGGCTCAGGGGGCTCCAGGAGAAGCGGTGACGATCTCATAGGCCTACGAGTTGGGTGGCTCAAGCGGCATTGTGGACACGAGGGGTGGGGGCATGGGGAAGGGGGAGAGCCAATCATCTCACACGCCTTCCAGCGAGGATAGTTTTTATGCCTCTCTCTCTCTCTCGTTCTCTCTCTGGTTCTGCCCCCCCCCTCTAGCACCTTCTCCTTGTGACCTCCTCCTCGTCCTCCTCGTCCTCCTCCCCTCTCCCTCCCCCCCTTTCTCCGCCGTATCGCCCGTCTCTCACCTCCCGTACGAGGCTGTAGCATCCAGGGCACATCCTGGAGGCAATGTTGGCGGCCCTCCAAATGTTGCATGTGTGTTTGCCCAGCCTGCGCTCTCCCTTTTGCATGGTGGCACAATTCGCTCTAACGGCATCCCCGTTTAGGCATCCCATCGCCAGCGCAGGCGTCCCCAGCTTAGCCGCCGACGCAAAAAGTTTGCAAAGCCTGTTGTGGATACGATTTGTGGCGTTGGCGCGAACGGGGGTGTTGCCAATAGCAGGGTGGCTTTTCGTTTCGTGAGTTCATCCGTGCTCGAAAACCCAGCGGCCATGCCAGAAATCCTGCGTCCCTGCTGTCTGTTTTTGCCTAGCGTGTGATTGCTGAGATGTGCGCCGATGGCGTGGCGATTTTTCCGTTACCAGCACATCAGCTAGTCGGTCTTGCTGACATGCGTATGTGCTTTCCCAGCTTGTTGAGATTTCGTTTGCCGTTTGTAGTAATAGCCCGGTTGTTCTGTTCATTCGTGAGTTTTTCCGTCTTACAGATATTTGCCTCCTTCGAGGCCTTTCAGGGCGCAGCACGCCCGCAATGTCAACGGTCTTGCGGACATTCCATACAAGTGTGCCCGGTTTGCCAAAATGATTGTTGATGTGATTTGCGACATTGGTGTGAACGGGAGTGTTGTGAATATCACGGTAGTTCTTCGCTTCGTGAACTTATTCGTTCCAGGGATTCCGCCTCCGTACGAGGCTTTTGCATCCAGGACACAGCCCAGCGGCAATGCTGGCAGTCCTGCATTTCTGCCGTCTGCCTTTACCCAGCCTGTAGTTACTGAAATGTGTGCCGATGATCGTGAAGGGGTTGTCGTTAATAGCATGTTAGCTATTTCATTCGTGTTTTTTTGTCCATCTTAGATGTATCTGCCGCCGCTCGAAGACGTGGCCCTTGTGACCCAGCCTGGCGGTAATGCCGGCGGTCTTGCTTACATTGGATATTCGATTATTAGTTTGTTTGTGTTGTTGTGGTTACTATTTTTCTGTATGAGTTGAACTTAGGTGGCTGTCAGACAAGAACGCGTCCCTGAGTACCCAGTCGTATCGTTGCTGTATCTACGAACAGGGCAGGACGAGGGCGGGGTGTGCTCGGGACATTCGAGCTCCAGGTTGGATGGCACGGGTAGAGTCGAGCCCCTCCAAACGTCGTGGAGGGCGTTGGAGTGGAGGGTGTTGCCCCTCGGCCTCCTCCCCCTACTCCTCCGCCTCCTCCTCCTCCCTCCTCCTCCTCCGCCTCCTCCTCCTCCTCCCTCCTCCTCCCTCCTCCTCCTCCTCCTCCCTCCTCCTCCTCCTCGCCCCCCCTCTCCCCCCTCTCCGCGGGCAGGGCGCAGAGGCGCCCAGAAGCTCTCCCCCCCCCCACGAGGACCGAGGCCGTGCTTCGGGCGCGGGCGCGGCGGGGCTCCGCGCGGCCGCCCCCGGCGGCGCGGCGGGGGGGAGGCGGCCCCGGTCAGGACTCGCCTGCCGCCCTCCCCCTCCTTGTCCTCCCCCCTTCCCTCGCCTCCCTCTCCGCCCTCTCCTCTCTCCTCTCGCCTCCTCCTCTTCCTCCTCCTCCTCCTCCTTCTCCTTGGCCTCCCATGTCCTTCGGGCCTCGAGCTGTTGGCCAGCGTGTCAATCTGACGCAGCCATCCCCTCCTCCTCCTCCTCCTCCTCCTCCTCCTCCTCCTCCTCCTCCTCCTCCTCCTACTGCCGATTCTCCCTCGTCGTCGTCGTCGTCGTCGTCGTCATCAGTGCTGTCGTCGTCGTCGTCGTCGTCGTCAGTGATGTCGTCGTCGTCGTTGTCGTCGTCGTCGGCGTCCTCTTCCGCCGTTGTCGTCGCCATCCATCTCCCCGTCCCTTTCGTCGTCCTCGTCCTCTTCCACCGTCGTCGTCGCCCTCTATTTCCTCCCCTCCCCTCCTCATCCCTCCCCCACTCCTACTTCTTCCCGCCCCTTCATTCTCCCGACTTGTATATCTTGATGCATCAAATCGCCAGCCCCCGATAGCGCATCATCACCATCATCATCATCATCATCATCATCATCATCATCATCATCATCATCATCATCATCAGCATCATCATCATCATCATCATCATCATCATCATCATCATCACCATTATAATCATCATCAAGGACATCATCATCATCATCATCAGTACCATGATCATTATCACCATCATCGTCGTCGTAATGATCATCATCATCATCGTCAGCATCATCATCAGCATCTTCATCAGCATCATCATCGTCATCAGCAACATCATCATCACCACTATCATCATCATCACCATCATCATCGTCATCGTTATCGTTATCGTCATCGTCATCACCATCATCATCGTCATTGGCGTCATCATCAGCATTGTTATCGTTTTTGTTGTCGTCATCATCATCATCATCAACATCATCATACTCATCATTGACATCATCATCAAAGTTATCACATCCACCATCGTCATCAGAAGCATTATCACCACCACTAGCATCATCATCATTATCATCAGTAGCAGCAGCATCAGCAGCAGCAGCAACATTATCATCAGCATCAGCAGCATCATAATTATCGTCATCATCAGCATTATCATCCGCATCATCATCATCATCATCACCATCATCACCATCATATTCAGCATCAAACTACTTGCCGGCATTATCATCATTATCATCATTATCATCACCACCATCATCAGCATCATGATCATCATCATCGCCATCCATCGTCATCATCGTCAGCAGCAGCATCATCATCACCATCACCATCACCATCAATCAATTATCTGCAGTACCATCATCATCGTCATTGCCATCACCATTGCACTACTCATCACCACCATCATCATCATGATAGTCATCATCGTCATTATCATCATCATCACCGTTATCACTATTACTGTCATCATCACCACCATCACAATCATTCCTCATCACCACATCACTGCCGCCGCCGTCATCATCACCGATATCATCATTATTATAATCATCACCATCACTATCAGCATCAGCACCAGCATCAGCAGAATCATTCGCATCAGCGTCAGCCTCAGCATCAGCATCAGCATCAGCATCAGCATCATCATCAGCACCACCAGCTCCATCGCCATCATAATCACCATCACCATCGCCGACCATCATCATCACCACCGCCACCATCATCATAATCACCACCATCACCATCACCATCACCATCTTCATCATCACCATCACCATCATCATCATCATCATCATCATCATCGTCGTCATCATCATCATCATCATCATCATCATCATCATCATCATCATCATCATCATCGTCAGCGTCATCAGCATCACCATCATCACCATCATCAGCATCATCATCAACATCATCATCACCATCATCGTCACCACGACCAACACCACCACCATCATCGCCCCCCTCCTCCCCCGCCCTTGTCAGGAGGGGTCGGGCTCGCCTCCCAACGTCACCAGGGACCTCACGCTCTTCGACTGGTGCGCCGCTGGCTCCGGGATGAGTCACGTGACAGTCTGGCCTGTAGACGACAGGAGCTCAGGCTCAGTCAGATGGGTGAGGCCCGTGGTCGCCCGGAACCCTCGGGGCCGGCAGGGTCCCAGGAGCCGCCGGGCGGGCCGTCCCCGGGCCCAGGAGCCGTCGGAACGGCACGTGGCCACCGCGTGCAGACCGGTTCCTGGCCTGGCGAGGGTCTGCCTTTTGTGTGGGCCTGCCAGCCCCCAGGGTGGCCAAGAAGCCACCACGGAATGAGGTGGACTGGTGGCGTGAGCACCTTGAGCTGGGTCTGCAGCGGCACCACGAAGGTGCAGCGGACCAGCCTGCCGAGCCCGCTGCATTCCTCGCAGTGGCTCAGCCTTCAGCTGCTCACGCAGGAAAAGAAGGGCCTTCCCCCTCCGCTCGGCTGCGGCCGCTGCGCGACCGGGCGCCTGAAGTGGAACACGTGGAACTCGACCGCGTACGTGTCGAGCGTCCCCTTCACGAGTGGGACGGAAGGCTACGCGTGCTTCAAGGTCCCAGCCCTGCTACGCACGGCCAGCGGCGCGCTGCTGGCCCTCTCGGAGGCCCGGGGAGGGGCCTGCGGCGACTTCGACCCCACCGAGCTGGTCTACAAGCGCTCCGTGGACGGTGGGAGCACCTGGGGGCCCCTCGCCCGCCTCGTGGAACCACAGGGCGACGCGTCCAAGCTCGGCGTCTGCGGGCACAGCCTCGTGATCGGCAACGTGGCCCCGGTGCAGCTGGGCAGCAGCTCCTCGCGCCACCCCGGGCGGATCCTCGCCCCGCACACGCGGAACAACTTCGAGGAGCCGGGGAGAGAAGACGCGCTCCCGCTTTCCCCCCCCCCCCCCCTGGAAGGCACGTTCGAGGTTCCAGGTTTTCGGGCGTTCTCGTTGGATCTCGGCGGTGCTCCAGCCTCGGGATGCCTTCCAGCAGCTGCACCTCGCCGAGAGCGTCCCGGGTGTGCCCTGATCGTCCCGAGCGGCCGCTGGAGCGCCGAGTTGACAATGACCCGAAAACCAGGCAGGCAGTAAGAAGGGGGGGGCAGGGGAGGGGAGAGGGCGGGTGGTGGTGGTGGTGGTGGTGGTGGTGGTGGTGGTGGCGGTGGCGGTGGCGGTGGTGGTGGTGGTGGTGGTGGGGAGCTGGAGGAGGCCAGGCTTGGGTTATCTAGCTGTGCACCTCTCCCTTCCGAGGTGTGGATCACCTACAGCGACGACGACGGGCAGACTTGGTCCACAGCCGCCAGGATTCCCAACGTGACTCTCACGGCGGCAGAGCCCGACTGCTACAGGAACATGTCGTACTTTGACGTAGCGGGCGTCGACACGCTGCGACTGGACCACCTGGAGAGCTTCACGACGTGGCTGGAACAACTCTGCCAACCTCTGGCGGACCCCTATCTCAACACCACGTGGACCCAGAAGCTCTCTGGACTCCAAGGCGGCTCAAACCACAGGGAGTCGTGGGATTCGGTTGCCTCGCCCTCGGGAGGGGGGAGGACGGGAAGAGAAGGTGGGGAGGAGGTGGGGGGTGAGGATGCCAAATCTGATTATTCCTGTGGTTCGAGTTGCCTCCAGGACCATGGCAGTTTGTTGGCGTTGGCCCACCAGGTGCCTTGCAGCTCAGCGGTGGCCGCGTGCTCGTCCCGGCCTATCACAGCTACGTGCGTGGCCTTGATGGATCGAACGGCACCTTGCCAGTTTCCCAGCTGTATAACAACTTCGCCCTGGGGCACACGCTGATAAGCGATGATGATGGGGACACCTGGCGGCTGGGATGGACAGGCTTGCCGCATGGAGATGGGGCTAACGAGAATCAGCTGGTACAGCTGCCTAACGGGTCGGTGCTCATGAACGCTCGTTCGCTTTCCACAGGCTCTCCGCAACAGCGAGTGCAAGCGCGCAGCGACGATGGCGGTGAGACGTTTGGTCCCTCCCGCATCGTCCCTGAGTTGCCACAGCCGTTCAACGGCTGTCAGGGTTCCTTCGTTGGAGGCGATGCCAGCGTTGTGTATGTAGCTGGCCCAGACCCTCCGAATAGAACCGACGTCCTGCAGAAGGCTCTCGACCACATGGGCTGCCGTGACATCCGGATGACTGGCCGGAGTCACGTCACAGTTTGGAAGAGTACCGACGGCGGGGGCTCATACCCAGAGAAGCTGCTAATAGATTCAGGTCTGTCTGCACAGACTTCTCTGCAGCACCACGGTGGACAGCTCAGCTTGCTGTACGAGCAGGCAGACCCATCTCCCGAAACTGTCGAGAACGAGATTCTGCAGGTCATGATCAAGGATCTGAAAGTACTGCTGCCAGATCGGGTCGTGTACCGTAGCGTGGACAGAATCAGAGTCGCTCCAGCATCGACCTCCCAAATTCATCTTTCCTTATTCATTCCCAGTTCGGATTGCTCTGTTTGCTTCTTCTCCATCGAGGCCCAGGTGAGCCAACGATGCCAACAATGGTGAATCTACTGACCTCTCGGAGCGTTTCGGAGTCGTCTTTGAGCTATTTTGGAGCTCTCTCGGAGCCCTTTGGGGAGACATTGGGCACTCTTGGGGCTCTCCTGGGAGCTAGGCTGGAGGCAATCGATGCAGAAGGAGTGGCTTCAATGCGCCCCCTTGCAGCCCCAGTAGTCATCTCGTGAGACGCTCTTGATACTTTGCCCCTCGGGGGAATCCCTGGGAAGCTGCGTGGCCACTCGGAACTGTCTTGGGGCCGTCTTGAGGCCTCCTAGGGTCAAGCTGGAGGCCATCATGAGCAGACTTGGGCGGTCTTGCGCCATCTTGGAAGCTATCTGAGGGGACATGTGGCCATCTTGGAGCCATCCTGGCCCGACAGCTTCCCAATTGATCCCCAGAGAGGCCGAACTTCCTTCTTCAACCACGTTATCGTTTTCAGTGGTCACTTTCTGAGTAACGAGATGTCAGAATCCCCCCCCCCTCCCCTCAGCCCCACCCCCAGTGAAGCCCCAAATATAGCCACTGGGGACTGCCTTGGGACGTTCTTGAGACGCTCTTTGGGGCCGTTAGGGCTTTCTCGGAGCTCTTCTGGGCCCCTCTTGGGGTTCTCTCGTGGGCCCACAGAAGTCCATTGGAAGCGAAACGGCGAGAAGACACACATCATTGCACAACCTTGGGTGTTTGCGGGAATTGGGCCTCTCGGGGGAACCCGTGGGGTTCTCCGTGGCCACGTGTGGCCGTCTTGGGGCCGTCTTGGGGCCCTCGTGCGCATGCTCGATTCTCTATACATGCTGGAGGCCATCGAGAGATATCTGGGACTGCACTTAGGCAGTGTCAGAAGCAATCTTCGGGCGTGGAGGTTGTTTGTTTATATCTAGCATGTATCTGGGCATCTTCGAGCTGTCCTGATACATCTTAGACGCCCTAAATCCCCTCGCGGGGGGTCGGGTGGAGGGGGGGGTGGGGGGGGGCGCCCAGTCCCCGGGGGAGGTGCCCCTCCCCCAACCCCCTCCCTCCGCTCGTTGAGGACTGCGGCGGGGGCGCTCGTTGAGGAATCTGCCCAGGAGGGGTGCAGACCATGGAGGATTCCCTTGTCCGACGAGGGCGGCGGTGACATCCATGGCCGATCCACGATTGGAGCGCCTCTCGCTTCCCGGCCCTGGGTTCCTTATCCACGGGCTCCTTATCCTGGTTGTGCTGAGGCTGACCATCCGCGTTTGAACCTGAGAGGTAAACCATCGCTTGCGAACCTGGTGGTGCTGAGGTAAACCATCTTGGAATTCTGTTTGCAAGCGAGCCTGCATCCGCAGTCCAACAGCGATACAAATGCCCTTTCCGTAACTCGCCAGACCTCCCACGCTCAGAGGGCTGGTGGGATTTCGAATCCAGGTGCCCCCCCGGCAACTCCGCCACAGTTCCGGCGAAGCACCCTGCCTGGCGAATCTTCGGGCACCTCCCAGAAGGCCATGGGGCTTATTTAGGCCGTCTGACGGCTGTCTTGGACTCCTGTGGCCCAGTCTGAGGGGTCCCGTGGGGCTCTCTTCGTGGCCCTCCAGGGCCGTCTCGGGGCCCTCTTGGGTCGTCTCGGGGGCCCTCTTGGGTCGTCTAGGTGGTCCCCTGGGGCTGCCGTCGGGCCATCCCGGAGTCCTCTTGGGCCGTCCAGGGGCCCTCTTAGGCCCTCTTGGGCCCCTCGGGAGGCCCTCTTGGGCCAGCTTGGCGCTCTCGAGGGGCCGCCTAGGAGCTCTCGGTGCTCTCGTGCCCCCTCGAGAGGGGCGGTGGCTGTGTCCAGCCCTCGTCGCCCGACGCGCCTCCCTGCGGCCTGCTCCGGCCTCCAGGGCGGCCCAGCGCGCCCCTCCCTTGGAGGGGCAAGCGAGGGGGCAGCCGGTGCGGGTGGGAAGGCGACTGCACTGGTGAGGCTGGCTGAGTTGGAAGGGCGCGGCCCCCTCTTCATCACAACCATCATCATCATCATCATCATCATCATCATCATCATCATCATCATCATCATCATCATCATCATCATCATCATCGTCATCGTCATCATCATCATCATCATCATCATCATCATCATCATCATCATCGTCATCGTCATCGTCATCATCATCATCATCAGTCATCAGCATCATCATCATCATCATCATCATCATCATCATCATCATCATCATCATCATCATCATCATCATCATCATCATCATCATCATCATCATCATCATCATCATCATCATCATCATCATCATCATCATCATCATCATCATCATCATCATCATCATCATCATCATCATCATCATCGTCATCATCATCATCATCATCATCATCATCATCATCACGACCAACATCCTCATTCCCCTCCCCTCCTCCTGGACATCTGACATCGGGCATCTGAGGCCTGGGCCCCCTCCCAGGGACGGGCTTCTCTTCCCGAGCAGGCTCTTGTTCGATGGTCCCGGGGCCCGCGACGGCCCCCCCCCCCATGGGGGCAGAGCCCCGCCGTGATCTCTCCGCGGCGCGCGCGAGGATGCCAGGGCATACTCCCCTCGAAACCCCGGAGGGGGGCCGCCCGCGACCCCCCCCCTCGGAGGCAGAAAGGCGCCACGCATCCTACGCCGTCCGCTCTCGCGCCCCTCCCCCCCCCCCCCCCGCTCTCTCCGCGGGAGGCAGCAGGGCCGCCGCCCCTCGCGCCCCCCCCCCCGGAGATGAGACCCGACGCTGCACCAAAGCATGCCGCGCCGCGCGAGAGAACGCGACCGGAGCCCCGGACCCCGCCGTTCCAGGCGCCCTCCTGCGCGCCGGAGGGGGTCTCCGCGAGGGCCCCGGGGCCCCGGCGCGGAGCGCCGGCGCCCCGCGCGGAGAAGCCGAGCGGCCCTGTGCATGTCTCCGGGAGGGGGGCCAGGGGGTCTCCTCCCTTCCCAGACCCCCTCGAGTCATGAACAAAATCACGACAAGAGTTTTTTTCATATTTGTGGCTTTTGGGGGCCCCTACCGGGCCTCGGTACCGTCAAAAAACGATTCAGGATGAAAGACCGGTCCTTGGGAATGGGTCCAAACCTCTGGGGGTCGACGTCATGGAAAAATCATGACGTCGGGGGTCTCCTCCCCTGACAGGAGGGCTAAAAGATGGCACCCGACTGAAAAACCTATCCCAGAGCTATTCTCTACGTCTTGGTTCTAGGCTGTGTCGCTCCGATGTTTAGGTTTTTAGGTTCCCCGTGCTAAAAGATAGCTCTCTGGAAGGTCAGGGTCCTCGCCCCCCCCTTCGCTCTGGGAGGGAGGAGGGCCGCCCGCGGCGCCCGCGCCCGCAGGCCGAGGGGGCCGGCGGCGGGGCCTCTGGCGAGCTGGGGCGCGCCGCTCGGACGGGCCGCGGGCCGCGGGCCGCCCCGGCAGCTCCGCGGCGCGGGTCGGCCAGGCGTAAGAGGGGCCTTCCGCCAGAGGGGCCCTCTGGTTCGGGGGGGAGGAAAGCGCACAGACACAATGATTCGTCGGTCCCCCAGAACACAGAGGAAGATACGGGAAATGGGGGGGAGGACAAGAACCCGGAAAATATGGGAAAATATGGGGAATCCTGTTGTTTGTGTGTGTGTGTGTGTGTGTGTGTGTGTGTGTGTGTGTGTGTGCGTGTGTTTATTTGTGTGTCCCAGGGCCCCTTCATTTGTTGGCGGCGCGCGGCTTCTTAGAAGCACCCCTGCTTCTTGGAGGGTGCGGGCTTTGTCTGTAGACGTAAGGCCGGCGCTTTCCAAGAAGCAGCCTCCTTCCAAGAAGCCTTCCCCTCTCCCCCTACCCGCCTCTGCGCGCCGCGGACTTTGGTGCGGGCCCAATGGGATCCCCCGATCGCCGAACGCGATGCGATAGGAGCGTCTTGCGCGCTTGTTTTGGGTCCCCCCGCGGCCCCCCCAAAAAGCCGCGCACCAAAGGTCGCTCTTACCCGGGGCCACTCGTGCGTGTAGCCGAGAGGGGGGGGGGGTGGCGGGGGGACGGGACCGACGCTCACCGAGCGCGTTCTCCACCACTCGCAAAGTGCCTTCTCGCAGACGTCCGAAAAGCATGTATTCCTCGACGCAGTGGATCGTGGATCCCCCGCGGCGGATCCAGGCCATTTGCAAATAGTTCCTCTGCGAGTAGTGGATCGCGCTGGCCCCGACGCATGGCCGGTGCATGTCGAACTTTCCGGCCGCAAACCTGGGCCCTGCCTCCCAGGCCCATCCTCTTCGCCCGGGGGGCGTGTGGCCCCCTGCGGCCTCCATCTCGGCCTCCTGCTGCCCCAGCCATCTCGGCCTCCTGAGGGTGTGGATGGTCACAAAGAAACGCCGGGCTTCTTCAACTCCTCTTGCAAACGCAGCGATATCAGGAATACTACAAACCCTAGCGTGTGGAAGCTCATCTCGGAAGGCTCCTGTCGATGATCAAACCCGGGGGTTCAAAAAGTTCGCCCGTTGGGTCTGCGACATGGGGAGCTCCACGGCGCGGGGAGGGGAGCTCGGGGAGGGGGGGAGGGCGCCAGAGGCCACGCTCTCGAGGCGTGGAAGGTACCGCTGCCGCTGCCCTGCAATCGTCGCCACGGCTGGGCTCGCCTCGAGATTCTGCCCAGAGCCCAAGGAGAGGCTCGTGGAGTGGCGGTATCGGCACTCCAGATTTCGTGATAAAAGGGAGGGGGTCACAACCCTCCCAGACGAGAAGTTTTAGACCCCCCCAGACCATCCATGAAAGGGCGGCTCTTTGCCCAGACCCCCTCCGAACCCTCCGAGACAGCTCGAATCAGACCCCCCCCGAATGTGACCCCCCCACTTTTTCATGGAATCCGGAGTATCTTTCGGTTTCCCTAGCGTTCGGGTGTTTTAGGCTCAGGGGGGGATGCATCGACCACCAATCGCCCATTGATCGCCGATAGGGGCCCGATAGACCCAACCCGCCCAGGACCGTGCGGATTCGCTATCGAGGGACCATTGCCGATCCATCGCCGATACATCGCCTATTCCAGGTCGATGTTCCCCCCTCTGAGCTGGCCCCCAACGTTGCTCCTCAGGGAACGGAGGCGGCGGAGAAGGGGGAGGGGGAGGGGTTCGGATTTCGCTTCAGTCGACAGTTTGTCCAACTGCGAACTGGATGTAATGAAGCATTACTGATGCCTATGCCAGGAGGCGCTTCTCTTCATCAGTAGCGTGTGCTCGTCCCTTACGCGGGCTTGCTGCCAAGAGACTTCGTTACCTTTCCTCCCGTGCATGCTCTCTCCTCTCCCACAAAACGCCGGCTGGGGATGGGGAGGGTTATCGGGGGCGTCCAACAGGGAGGTGAGGACTACATTGGGGCCATTGGTTAGAGAATGTGCTCAGGAGGCTTCAGCCACTAGAAGGTTCCTTAACCGATGCGAGTGGCGGTGGTATCCATGGCCACTCCACGATACAATTCCCACCGGCTTCAGGACCCTGGATTCCTTATCCAACGGTTCCTTATCCAATGCCCTCACCCTCCGTAGCCATTTTGGCTCAAGCCGTTTCGGCGCGAGCTGGTGTTCTTGAGCTGGAGACAGTTCGCGTTTGTGCCCACTTACTTCGAAGCGGCGTAGTGGGCACGAGCCAACCTTCACGACGACGGCCCCACCTGCGGCAGCCCGCGGGCCATGGCGCCGTCACCATCGGACCCTGGCATCATCCCAGGCGCGCGCAAGACACCCCTCTGGTCTTGCTCCTGCGGCTGCGATGGCAACTGGGCGTCCAGGACGTGCTGCCGCCGGTGCTGGAAGGGTGCTCCCACCCACGTGGTGCAGGCAGCCAAGCTCTCGGCAGCAGCAGCCAACGGGCCAGCTCCCAGCTCGTCTCGCCCGCGCGGGGCCTGGGCGCAGGGCCCGCCAGGACAGGGGCAGCTTCTGGCGCAGCTGCAGCAGCTGCAGAAGCAGGTGGCAGAGCTCAAGGGCGAAGCCCCGCCCCCGTCGGAACCCTGGAAAGGACGCAAGCCCCCGCCCAGGAAGTCGGCCGAGGCGAGTTCAGGCATCTCCTTCAAGGACGTTCGCACCTTCTTGGCAAAGGAGGGGCTGGACACCAGCGCGGTGGAGGAGGCAGAGAAGGCTGCGGAGTCGAAGACGCAGGAGAGTAAGCAGCCTACTGCTCAGACGCAGCGCTGGAGGGTCAAGGCCATGCGAGACAAGATCAAGAAGCTCGAGGTCCGCGAGTCAGCCATCTTGGAGCAGCAGGCCGCACTCGACAAGGAGCTCCTGGAGCTCAGGGCTTCGCTCGGCGACGAGAACCAGAAGCTCGCAGAAGGGGAGGCCAAGTTGGTCAAGTTGCAGGCCAGCGAGTTCCCTGACCCGATTTTGGCAGTCGCAGCGGGTCTGGATGAGGATGTCGCCGCCAGCCAGGAGGCCAAGGACGCCCTCGCGGTCCTGGCCCGCTTGCAGAACGCAGCCAGCGACAGCAAGAAGGCTGCTGCCGCGGCCAGGGCCGCTGCTGCTCCTCCTGGTCCTGCTGCTGGGGGCTCAGACGCAGGCGGCGAGCACAAACCTGTGCCAGAGTCAGACGACATCGACATGGAGCTGCTGGGAGGAGAGGGCTGGGAGGAGAAGCATGAGGAGTACGCTGCAGCCTCAGCAGCCCTCCGCGAAGCGACCCCCGAGCAGCGAGAGGAGGCTAAGCGCAAGCTGCGCGATGCCTTGGACGCGCTCTGGGCAGCAGGCAAGCGGCCTCGGCACCTTTGACCCCAGGCCCAACGGGAGCCTGGAGGAGCAGCGTGGCCAAGGGATTGGCGGTCCGCAGCCCAGCCGAGGGCCCACATGCAAAAGTGGGTTGCTCTTTCAGGATGGAGAGGCTAAAGGCTCGGGCGTGAGTCCCCCCTTGGATCTCGTCTGCACGGCGAAGCGCCGCCCCCAGCCCAGGGCTGAGGAGGCAGGCGCGCTGGTGCCCGCCGCGGCCGCATGTCTCCAGCTGGCCAAGCTGGTGCGGCCCTCGGCGCAGCAGGGCGCCAGCTTCCTCAGCATCAACGGCTCCACTTGGGCCGAGTCCCAGACTGCCCTCGAGCAGCTGCTGGGCGAGAAGGTCAGGGACGACGTGTACTTCATCCAAGAGACCCGCTTCACTTCGGCGTTGGCTGAAGGCTCGGCCCGTGCCTGGTGCAAGCGGAACGGCATCATCGCGGCCTTCGGAGAGTGCCGCAGCACAGGGGCGGCGGTCCAAGCAGTCTCTTCTGGGGTCGCCGTGCTGGTCGGGGAGCACCGCGGAGCGGCCGCGATCGACCAGGCCTGGGGCCAGCGCGCCCCGAGGATCGTGGCGAGGCGCGTCGCCTTCGGGGACCTGGTCGTGGTGTGTGTCAGTATGTACCTGCAGTGCTCGGTCAAGCTCAATGAGACCAACGTGGACCTTTTGAGTGAGCTGCAGGGTTTCCTCCTGGGTTTGCGGGGGCCCTTCGTCGTGGGGGCTGACTGGAACTTGGAGCCCAGCCTCCTCAGCAGCTCGTGGTGGCCACGAGCGGTGGGGGCAGTGCTAGTGGCGCCCGACGAGCCGACCTGCGGAGATAGCACATACGACTTCTTCGTGATCTCGGACGTCCTGGCGGGGCTAGGGCCGAAGGTGACGGTGCTCAGGCATGCGACCACACGCCCGCGCGTCCCCGTCAGGCTCACCTTCGAGAAGCTGAGCAGCCAGGCAGGTGTCTGGGTACAGAAGGGCCCCAAGCCTTTCGAGCTGCCTGCGGCCAAGCAGGAGGGGATCCAGCCCGAGCCAGAGGATGAGGACTCGCTGACGGACTGGAAGGCGCCGCTCCTGGACGAGAGTGGGAGCCCGAACAAGGCGATCACCGAGTTCTTTGACCAGGCTGAGGTGCGCCTGATACACCTCCTCGGCATCAAGGACGGCGCCAAGTACAGAGGCAGGGCGCAGGGACTTAAGAGGGCACCAAAGCAGCTTATCCACCTCCTGCGCTCGGAGGAGGTGCGCAGGGCCAGCCCGCTCACTCGCTGCTGGATGACTCTGGGGCGCCTGGCCTCTCAGCTGGTGGCCGCGGCGTCGGTGCCTCACCCCTCGCCTGGGCACCACAAGCACGTCAAGCGCCTGCAGGCGGCCGCAATGGGCTTGGTCCCCAAGTTTGAGGCAGCGGGCTGCGAGATGTTCGGCGGCACCAAGATGGCGACTATGCTTGAGGAGATCTCGGGCAGGTCGCAGCAGGGCGGCATCTTCCTCCAGGCCATCAGTGCCGCCATTGGGGTCAAGCGCAAGGAGGACGTGAAGCTCGCCAGGCAGCGCTGGAAGGAGTTCATGGCCGAGGCCCTTAGTGGGAACGGGAAAGGTGCTCACGCGATCATCAAGCAGGCCAACCTCGAGACCTGCTCCATCCTCGGCCCTGGTGAGGGCGAGGCCCTCCCAGTCCCGCTGGTCGGGCAGCAGGCCCTGGACAGGATCCTGCAGGAGTGGAAGGCGCTCTGGCACAAGGAGAGCCCCTCCAGCGTCCGCCCAGAGAACTGGGACGAACCCTTGGGGCTGGACGCCATCACGGCGGAGGATGCGCTGGCAGCGGCGAAGACCTTTCCCAGGAAGACGGCTCTGGGATGGGACGCCTTCCACCCCAGGCTCATCCTCAGCTTAGGCAGGGTGTGCGCCGACAGGCTGGCCGAGATCTTGACAGCCTGGGAACGGCACCCTCAGCCGTCGGGGCTTTTCACCACGATCATAGTCTTCCTGGGGAAGGGGCGCATGAGGGCACTCAGGATATCTGCGGCGAAAGCCGCCTGCAACCTGCCGACGGGAGCCGCGCTGACCTTCTGCCTGCAGTGCGCGCCCCAGGGCTGGAGGCAGGATCCGCTGGTGATTGCGACGGGCATGGCTGTCCATGCTTTCGTGGCCATGAGCTGGTCTGGCCAGGCCTCTCCTGCGGCAGTGCAGGCCTGCCTCAGGGACAGCAGCCGTCTGGCCTCGCTGCAGAGGCCGCGGGCCGCGGTGCGCGACCCCGTCTCGGCGCTGGTGCTCGCGCTAGGGCGGGTCGGCTGGGGCCTCAGAGCTGGCGGGCGCATCCTGGCCGACAGGGGGGGGGGGGGGGGGGGGGGGGGGGGTTCTCGCCCGCTTCCTCGCGCCAGGGTCAAGGAGGACACGCGTCAGGCGGCATCGCTCTCGAGAGTACCAGCAGGCCCGAGACCTTCTGGCAGTGCGGCTGCCGCCGGTGGACGCGATCAACCAGCTCCTCGGAGCCAAAGAGTCGGAAACCTGGACGGCTCACCACAAAGGCTGCCTGAGACGACTGGCGTCGCTGGCCAGCTGGCCCCAGGCCCGACTGGCGAGGCATGGGCGTGAGATTGACCCGCTCTGCAAGCTCTGCGGAGCCGCCCCAGGGACGATGCACCACAGACACCATGTGTGCCCAGCCTGGGCGGCATGGAGGCGGGACTACTGCCCATGCCAGGTGAGTCAGGCAGCGGAGCAGGCCCACCGCACGGGGGCCCCCTTCGACGAGCTTTTCAGTCAGGGGCTCTTCGCCGACATCAGCCTCCTGGTGGCCAGGCCAGCCTGGGATGACAGCTGGGCGCTGCGTTCCTGCGGGTGGGGGGACGGCATCTTGGTGGTACCCGATGGGTCCTTCGTCTTCACAGACGGCTCGTGCCTGAACGGGGACTTCCCGCGCGTCAGGAGCGCTGGCTGGGCGGTCATAGTGCACGGTCCCGATGCGAGGCTCATCGCCGAGGCGTGTGGCGCAGTGCCCCCCAGCGACCTCCCGTCGCAGACGGCCAAGGCGGGCGAGGACTACGCTGCCGCCATCGGCCTCGCCGACATCATCGGGAACTACACGCTGCTCAGCGACTGTCTGAGCACGGTGAAGGCTGCGTCTAACCTGTCCAAGGCCTGCGGCCCCAGCTCCCTGCACGCCCACGTGTGGGCCAGGGCGGGCGATGCGGCGGAGGGCGTCACCATGCGCCACGTGCCCGCCCACCGCACGGAAGTCGCGGTGCAGGACGGGGATCTCGCCCTCTTCGAGCTCGTGGGCAACAGGCGCGCCGACACCAGGGCTAAGGAAGGAGCGGCATTCCACGCCATCGCCGAGCATGACGCCCTGATGTTGGAGGGCTGCCTGGCTCGGGCGAAGGAGGTGGCCAGGTGCGCGGCGGCCCTCGAGGTGCACATCACCGAGTCGGGACTCAGGGACTCCTGGCCGCTCACCTCCCTGGACCTCGTGGACCTGGACCCCTTCGCTCCGCCGCCCGACTTGGGGCTGATGCTGGAGGCCGAGGAGTCGACTGCCCGAGGCCAAGGTGGATTGGCGGCCCTGGGGGCGGCAGCAGCGCTGGCGACGGCAGCGGCGGCCAGCCAGGGAGCCCAGTCCCAGGACCAGGCCGTCTCGAAGGTCCGCAAGAGGAAGGAGGCCGACGAGGGGCCAGTAGGGCCCAGTGATCCAGTCGCTGACGCGTCGAGCGCGTCGGCGGCCCTGCTTCGCGCGGTCCAACGCCGCCGCGCAGAGAAGGCGGAGCGGGCGGCGCCCTCGGCCGTGGGCGCACCGTGCCCGCCCATGTCGGCCGTTTCGCTGCCCCCTCCCCCTCCTTCCCCTGCGGCCTCCCGTGCTTCTGCGGCCGCCGCCCCGCCTCCGCGTGCTCGCTCGGGCCCTGCTGGCCAGAGGAGGACCCCAAGGCCCCTTTTAGAGACCCCAGACTCTGGCCAAAGGTCGAGGGTCTCTCTTTCGAGTGTTTCGCGTGATGGCCCGTCCCAGGACGACCCTGTCGAGTCAGGAGTCTGGGAGGTCAACGGCCACCGTCTTCGTGAATCGCGCGTTTCGGGCGGGGACAGCCCTGAGTTTCTGGTGTGTGTGGCATGCTGGATGTATTGCTTGAAACCCCAGTACTGCCACAGGGGCCTGGCCAAGGCCTGCAGCGGGGCCCAGCGCGCTGACGACCCCAGGGCCAAAAAGGGCTCAAGGGCGCAGGCGCGAAACGATTTCGCGAAGTCGATCCTGCCTGGGAAATCCAAGCAGCCGATCGACCAGTTGGCTCGGCCCACAGCGGCCACCCGTGCCAGATGGGCCGAGGCGCTAGGCTCGGTCGCTGGCCCTGAGGGCATGGGGGACCCCGTGGCCCCTGTAGGCTCCAGAGACCCCGCCGTGGTGCCCCCAGAGGTGCGGGTTCGGGCACCCGCCCCGTCTGCCCCTGGGAGGTTGTTCCGCCCAGGGCTCGAGGGAGCCCTGAGCTCCTTCGGCTTTGCCAGCGCTGCTGACGCACAGGAGCGAGGCAGGGCCGTCAGGGCGGCCAGGACGGCGGACCCCAGGCCAGTGGTTGGTCTGAGCGCGGAGTGACGGTCGCGCTTCGGGGTCTGGGCCTGGTCGGCCGCGGGCCTGTGCAAGCTCTGTTTGCTGGGCCGTAAGACGGCTTCCGAATTTGTTGGTGCATGACAAGCCCCAGGGTGATAGGATATGACAAAATGCCCTCACCCTAGGGTCATGTTCATCTTCCAGGGGAGACTGGCACTCCGCCCCCAACCGCCGACAAGTCTGACTACATTTTGATTTCACTCTGATTCCACTCTGGCTTTGCACTGGCCGCAGACGTAGCTTCGACAGTGGCTCCGCCAGCTGTGCCGTAGAACGCGCTGCGCACCTGCCGCTTCTCCTTAACATCACATGCGGCGGGCCCGCCGCGCCGCCCGTGGCCGCTCCAATGCCCTGGCGTTAGCGTAGCCCTGGCTGGGCAGATTGTTGGAGCGCTGCGTGAGCGGGCCCGTATGGCCCCCCCCCGAGCGGGCCCGTATGGCCCCCCCCTGTGATCCCCGAAGGCCGCTTCTCTGTTCCACCCAACCCGCGGCCCCCATGAGCGGAACCGCTTTTTGTTGTTCCTTGGGGGGGGCGTGGGGGGAAACGGTGTAGTGGCCATGAAGTCTCCCAGATTTCTATGCCCGTCTTCTTCTTCTTCTTCTTCTTCTTCTTCTTCTTCTTTTTCTTCTTCTTCTTCAAAGCGTTCCCTGGTCCCGCCTTGGGCCATGATGCGCTAACCCCCCTTTTCCTGGCCGCCCTCTTCGGTCGGCACACCCGCAGGGATGCGGATGATGAGGAGGAGAAGGGGGGGGAGGAGGAGGAGCAGGAGGAGGAGGAGGAGGAGGAGGAAGGAGGAGGAGGAGGAGGAGGAGGAGGAGGAGGAGGAGGAGAGGGAGGAGGAGGAGGAGGAGGAGGAGGAGGAGGAGGAGGAGGAGGAGGAGGAGGAGAAGGGGGGGCAGGAAGGGAAGGGCGGGCTGGGAGCCTCAGCGGCGTCCGGAGGCCTCAGGAGGCCAGAGGAGTCTCGGGACCTCCAGGTGCCTCGGGGGGCCGTCCGGGGACCGACGGACGGCCACACGCAGAGGAGTCGTCTTTTCAGAGGAGGGCCGGCCCTGCAGCCCTCCGCGGAGTGGCAGAGGCAGACGGGGTCTGCCTCTGGCCGAGTTGGTGCTGCAGCGGCACGGGTCAGGAGGGCAGCCTCCGAACCCTCGGCCTCGGCCCCGGGCGTGCAGGGCGGCTTTGTGCGCGCGGCGGCCCAGCGCGGAACGCATCCATGAGACCGCGCAGGCTCGTCGACCGTGAGGTGGGGAGGGCGGGGGGCGGCGGGGGCGGACCGTGGGCGAGGCCCCTCGAGGCAGGGGCAGCCGGGGGCGCGCGCGACCCCTGCCGAGGCCGACTGCCGGCGGCGGGACCTCCCCGAGCAGGCATACCCGATGGAGCTGGCGGCCGGCGCCGTCGCCAAGGCGAAGGCCGCCAGGAAGAGGCCCAACCAGGGCGACGCCAGCTCCTCCGAGGGCTCGCCGAACGACGATGTGGCGCCAGCGAAGAAGTGGGAGGAGAAGCCGGGCGGCCACGCGCTGGACCCGGCCAAGGCAGAGGAACGCGCCAAGGCCATGGATGAGAACTACGATAAGCACAAAGACATGACGAAGGAGGAGCTCGAGGAATGCCTGCCGAAGAGACCCGACAATGGGGTAACCTCCATAGGCTCGGTCTTGCACGAGTTGAACATCTGTTCCCCCTGCTGCTTTAACAAGACAGCGAAAGGCTGCAAAGAGGGCATCACGTGCAAGTACTGCCACATGCCCCACAAGAGGACCAGGACCAGAGGCCCGAAAAAAACCAAGCAGACGGTCGCTGCCAAGAACCTGCAGGCCCTCCAGCAGGAGGAGGGCATGAGGTCCGACGAGGACAACATCGAGGAGGGCTCACGGCTCGCCCGACGAGCTCTCAAGGAGCAGCAGCAGCAGCAGCAGCAGCAGCAGGCCCCCCCGCAGCAGGCGGAGGCGCTGGTGGATCGTAGGGGCAACACGTGGCCTTCGTGGCTGCAAGATGACCTCCGGCACGAGCTGCGGCGCGAACGGCGAGACGATTGGAGGCAGCACGCCCCACCTCCCTCGGGGCCGGGGCACCCGCCGCCGCCCTTGCCGCTGGCGGACCGCTCGCAGCCGAGCGGCTCCGCCCACTGGGCTGGGGGCGCCCACCCGCCTGCGCCGCCAGTGGACCACCGGCAGGCAGGCGGCTACGCGCATGCCCACCCGCCCCCCGGCGCGCCTGCGCCAGGCTACAGCGGGCCAGGTGCCGCGCCGCAGCAGGGCGCCTACTCGGTGGCCTACGCTGCGCAGGCGTCGGGCCAGGGCGGCCCAGGCCAGAGTGCCTTTGCCGCCAGCCACGGCGGCCACACGGCTCCGCCAGCCAGCGCTGGCCCCCACGGCACCGCGCCGCCCCCCAGCTGCGGCGACGCCGCGGGGGCGCCAGGCGGCTGCGGCGGCTACGGCACCCTGGGCGGGCCGCCCCCCGACGGCTACGGAGCCCCCGCCGCCGCGCCGCTGGACACGGGTGGCCCCGGGCACGTGTCTCCATACGCCGCGGCGCCGCGCCCAGCGCTGGAGGACAGGAGGCCACCCCCTGCTGCCCCGTACAGCGCCAGCCCCGGCGCCGCCGACCCCAGGAGGGCTCCGCCGCCACACCCGGCGGAGGCCCGCGGCAGCCATCCGCCTCCGGTCGCATACGCCGCTTCCGCCGCGAGCGGGGTCGACCCGTACGGGGCCCCTCCGGGGGACCCGTATAGGGCGCCTCCGGTGGATTCGGTAGCAAATCATGGGAGCCTTGTATGTCCTCGCAACTCTGCCCGTAGAGAGTGAACTCGAATGCGCTATATATGTTTGTAATATCGATGAGAGAGCCTTGATCCAGCGCCGATTTTTTGCGTCGACTAGAGCGTCGATTCGCCAGAGCCAACAAGACGGTATGTGGCAGGCTCCCACGAGTTGCCGCAGAACCTCACAGGTGGACCCGTACAGGGTGCCTCAGGCAGACCCGTACGGGCACCCGTCGAGAGGAGCCCCCTCCGGCCCCGGCGGCCTCGACGGCGCCGCTCCGCCGGCGGCTGGCGGCGCGGCCGGCTACCAGCACAGCAGCGCCTACGCTGCCCCGCCGGGCCCCGGCACCGCTCCAGGCGGCGACGCCCATGCCCATCTCGGCGGCGAGCCCGGGGGGGAAGTGAGAACCGAACAACAATAATGGAGGATGACGATTAATGAATGACCGGGGGTCGTGTTCACGCGGCGGCGCCCGGGATGACGATTAGAAGAAACTGGCCGCGGGCTGGAAAACCATTTTTAAAAATCTTTCTCCTCCGGTCAGAAAACTGCAGAAACAGCAGAAGACTATTTTTTTAATCGTTCCCTCCCATTTTTATTAATCGTCATCCCGCATTAACAACTGCATGAGCACAATTTCTCGGAGGGCCGCGCGGATTTCTTGGCTCGGCGCTGATCACCTCCCCTGGCGGCACCTCCTGCGCTGATCCAAGGAGTCCGCGCGGACCTCCGAGAACTTCTACTTAATGCCAGTTTTGATTCCTCTTGAGTCTCTAGAGAGGGGTGGCAGGGCTTCTCAGAATGCAGCGGGCCTTCTTAGAAACCCTTGCGCCTTAGAGAAGCCGTCCCTGTCTTTCTGGAAGGCTTAGAACACTTCCTCAGAAGGCCCGAGGCCTTTCCAGCCTTCTGAGAAGGCCTGCTCCCTCTCACTTCTCCCCTGGGCTTGCCGCCGATCGTCACCATAGCGGGTACAGCGCGTCTCCCGCGCCGAGCCCGCTGGGAAGGGGAGCCGACGGTGGCTGCCGAGGCTGGCCGCCGCAGCCGCACCCGCACCCGCACCAGCAGCAGCAGCAGCAGCAGCAGCAGCAGCAGCAGCAGCAGCAGCAGCAGTGGCACCCACCACAGCAGCAGCCGCCGCCGTCGCACCTGCAGCACTACAGGTGACAAATCATGGAGGCGCTTTTGGTCGGCCGCGTACGAAAAGAGGCACTGTCTCGGCACTCTTGGCGGGCTGGGTCTTGGAGCCAGCATGGGGGCCGGAGGTGGCCCGGCACTGGTGCCGGCCAGCAGGGAGGGGGGGGGCAGGTTCGAGGTGCTGGGTTCGACAAGGTTGAAGTCGGGCCTGTCCCTCTACAGGGGGAATATTCGAAAATAGTCAACAGTAGTCTGGGGACGATTGTTTGTTAATTGTTTGGCTACTTTGGATTATATATATATATATATATATATGTATATATATATATATATATATATATATGTACTCCTCTTGCTATATTTTCACAAGCCCCGGGGGGGGGGAAAAAACATCCCCCCCAAAAAACTGGACCCCCGGGATGTGGGGTTCTCGGGCTCCCTTGGACGTCCTTCGAAAAGGTCTCCCGGCTTTCCGGGTCTCCACAAACGCCTTGCCAGCAGACCCAGAGCGATCCGCGGGGTCATCAGAAAGGTTCAAGGGAGGCCCCAGACAGCACAAGAGCGCTCCAAGAGGGACTCCAATTGCGTCAGGACGGCCCACAGACCCCCAAGGCACCCCGAAAAGCTTTCCAAGGGGCCTTCAAACCACAAAAATCGTCCCATTCCCTTCGTAAATCTTACAATTTTAGCAGATTCGCCTTTCGGATTTCATCAGCTTTCAAGACGGGTTCAAAGCCCCCGAGATCGCCTCCAGACGCCCCCAAATGCCCCCAAGAAAGCGTCAAGACGGCCGAGCCGGGCCCCACGATCGCCCACGAGAGCCCCAAGACAGCCCATAATGGAACCAAGAGGCCCCCCAAGGGCTCCCAGCACAGATCCAAAAGGGCCATGGGAGGTTCCCGGAAGTGCCCAAGATGGATCCAAAGGGGGCTCCATCGGGCCCAAGCTCCCCAAGATGGCCCAAGAAGGCCCCAGGACGGCCCATGAAGGCGCCAAAACGGCCCACGAGGGCCCCGAAAACACCCCCACGATGTTTCCGAATGCCAACATAAAGACCCCTAAGGCACCCCAAGAAGCTTTCCAAGGGGCCTTCAAACCACACAAATCGTCCCAGTCCCTACGTAAAACTTACAATTTCAGCATGTTCGCCTTTCGGATTTCATCAGCTTTCAAGATAGTTTCAAAGCCCCCGAGATCGCCTCCAGACGCCCCAAAAGGCCCCCAAGAAAGCTTCAAGACGGCCGAGCCGGGCCCCACGATCGCCCACGAGAGCCCCACGACAGCCCATAATGGAACCAAGAGGCCCCCCAAGGGCTCCCAGCACAGACCCAAAAGGGCCATGGGAGGTCCCCGGAAGTGCCCAAGATGGGTCCAAAGGGGGCTCCAGCGGGCCCAAGCTCCCCAAGACGGCCCAAGAAGGCCCCAGGACGGCCCATGAAGGCGCCAAAACGGCCCACGAGGGCCCCGAAAACACCCCCACGATGTTTCCGAATGCCAACATAAAGACCCCCAAGGCACCCCAAAAAGCTTTCCAAGGGGCCTTCAAACCACAAAAATCGTCCCATTCCCTTCGTAAAACTTACAATTTAGCATATTCGCCTTTCGGATTTCATCAGCTTTCAAGACGGTTTCAAAGCCCCCGAGATCGCCTCAAGACGCTCCAAAAGGCCCCCAAGAAAGCTTCAAGACGGCCGAGCCGGGCCCCACGATCGCCCACGAGAGCCCCAAGACAGCCCATAATGGAACCAAGAGGCCCCCCAAGGGCTCCCAGCACAGACCCAAAAGGGCCATGGGAGGTCCCTGGAAGTGCCCAAGATGGGTCCAAAGGGGGCTCCAGCGGGCCCATGCTTCCCAAGACGGTTCAAGAAGGCCCCAGGACGGCCCATGAAGGCGCCAAAACGGCCCACGAGGGCCCCGAAAATACCCCCACGATGTTTCCGAATGCCAATATTCATTGATTTTGCTCCCATGACATTTTACATTGTGACCCAGTCTTTGAGGGTCTCGTGGCATGCAGCGAAGATGCCCGAGGATGCCCCGTACGAGTTGCATTTGCATGCTCATACCCTTGCACACATAAATTCATATGTACAGATGTACGCTGCATACACATACAACACTGTAAGTATATAGTATACACCTAGACATTTATACGGACCGTGCATGCACGTGCGCGTGTAGACATGCATGCGCGCATGTACGCACGCACGCATTCCGCTTGCGTGCAGAACTCAAAGGACCAAGGTGCATGCGCAGCGCCAATGCAGTCTTGTATATATATATATATGTATGCATATATATATATATATATATATATATAGATGTCTATCTTCCAATCTCCGCCTGTAGGGGGACACGCGCGACCTAAAACCAGGTTTCTTGCCGTTCTCAGTTTCCTGGGCTGCACCATATGGACCCTATGGGAGGGTTCCGGGACGGATTTCGAGCGGATTTGCGTTCATCCCCTCTCTCGACCGATTCTCTCGGGGCCCGACCAGCTCAGACCCCCTGACCCCCTCCAAGGGATCTCGTCTCCCCGAGGGCCGTTTCGGATTCTGGAGGGCTGCCCGCCCGGCGCGCCGCGTGAAGTGCTCGGAGGTTCGCCACTGATTGCCAAGCTGTCCATGGGCCCCCGGGTGTGGCTCCGCAGCTGGTGCAGGCCTAGCCCCCGACGCAACTTCACTTTACAACATCGTTCGGGGAGGGCGAACTCCAAGCAATCCTCCATCTGTGTGTAATTCAATTGATGCTGGGTCAGCAGGTAGGAGAGAACGGCATCCTTGCCTCCCAGTCTCCCCCCTATGCAGCAGCATATTTTCCTGTTAATGTTGCTCGTGCAGAGGATGGACAGATCTGGCCATCGAGCGCTATTCCTTTGATATTAACGCTAGCAGATGGCTAGCCATCTGGTATTTATCGCTATGTGCGGATGTGGGGTGAGGACACATTTCTGCTCAGCTCGCGTGGGCATGCGACGCCATCAGTCTCCCCAGTGATTGCGGATGCGTTGTTCTTCGGTGCGAGGTGGCAGCACGTTGCCATACCTACTAGGTTCGCTGAAGACTGGGTGGACACCTTGACATGTATTGCCAAGCCACTCGTGATAGTTTTGGTTGCATTCGACGCTGGACCGTCTGACCATGCGCATGCTCTCTTCGCTCTGGGGTCTGGGGGGACCAAACTGACTTGAATTAGCCGCAGATCAGGTTTTTGAAGAAGTTTCTTCACGCGAATGTCTTTGACGGGCGTTGCTTGTGTTTACCACTCGTACATGGCTGCTGTGAATTCTGTGCCAACTCGATCTCTGATGACACGGCAAGGGTAAGCGAACGCGCGTGTATCACCATATTGTGATCGCGGTTGTTTGGAGTCACCGATGGATCAGCCACAAGATGCACGGGAGGACGTGGCCGCTGCAACATAGCCTCGTCCTTTCGAGTACGGCGGGCGTGTGGTTGCCCACCTGTGGCCGCCTCGCCTAATGGTCTTGCATGTGCATTCCGCGCGTTCTCGCGCTAATCATCGTGCGCTGTGCCCCAGCCTCGTTCTGACCGCCCTCTGGACTTTTCCTTGCGGGCCGCAAATCAAAAAAAAGAGTACGGCGGGCGATCTTGCGGTGCCTTCTGGCCGATGCGCTTCCCGGGAGGCTCTCAGGCGGAGATCCACCCCGTCGGAGGTGTCTCCCAGCTGCCTTCGGCAGGCCACGCCACCGCGCCAGCGCAGCCGCGCAGCGCGAGGGAGCTTGAGTTTGAGGCCCGCGCCAAGTCAGCGCGCGGTCTGAACTCGCGTGGGCCTTCCTCTAGGCCTCCCTCCTCCTCCTCCCCCTCCTCCTCCTCCTCCTCCTCCTCCTCCTCCTCCCCCTCCTCCTCCTCCTCCTCCTCCTCCTCCCCCTCCTCCTCCTCCTCCTCCTCCTCCTCCTCCTCATCATCATCATCATCATCATCTTCCTCCTCCTCCTCCTCCTCGTTCCCTCGATCTTGGAGCCCACTTGGGCCACCGTGAGTGGTTCTCGGGCAGTCTGGCGGCCGTCTCGGAACTCTTCTTGGTCAGTCTTGGGCCGTCTCGGAGGCTCCCTCACCCCCTCTGACGTTTTCTGGAGGCGATCTGATGCAAGAAGGCTTCGCCTCGCTAAAGGCCTCTTTGGAAGACTCTTGGAGGCGTGTTGGGCCCTCTTGGGGCATGTTGGGGGCCGTCTTTTGATGGGCTGGAGGCTTCTTGCATCAGTCTTGGATTATTTCTTGCTGTCTTAGAGCCGTTTGAAGGCCGAAAAGAGCGCCCGTGAGGAAACTTTCAGAGGGAACGATTTACTCAGGGTGGCCCCTGGAATGACCAAGAAACGTTCCCAGAAAACATAAGAGCATTCGAACACGCCCTAACTTGCCGATGGCACGCCATCGCCGTCGCCGTCGTCGTCGTCGTCGTCTTCGTCGTCGTCATCGCCGTCGTCGTCGTCGTCGCCGTCGTCGCCGTCGTCGTCGTCGTCGTCGTCGTCGTCGTCGTCGTCGTCGTCGTCACCGTGGGCGATCCGTCTCAGCCGCTGCGGCGCAGGCTGGCCGGCGGCCGAGCCCCCCCCCCTCGGCCCAGCGCAGGGGCTCCGCGAAGGGGCGGAGCCGACGTGCCTGGCCGCCATGGCGCGAGGGGCGCGGTCGGTCCTCCTGGCGGCGCTGCTCTGGAGGTCGCCCAGGGAGGGCACAGCCTGGCATCCTCGCGCCGTTTTTTGTTTTGTTTTTTTTTGTTTGTTTTTTGTGGTTTTGATGTTTTTTTGGTTTCTCCCCCCCCCCCCCCCGCATCCAGATGAAGCAGTCCTCGCGGGCATCCCTGGTCGTGCTGTCCTCGGAACAGCACGTGTGTATATCTATACGATCAAGCATCAAGCAGCCCTCGCGGGCATGCCTGGTCGTGCTGTCCTCGGGACAACACGTGTGTGTATATACATACACATAGAAACAATATGTAGGTATATTGTATGTGTGTGTATGTATGTATGTATGTATGTATGTATGTATGTATGTATGTATGTATGTATGTATGTATGTATGTATGTATGTATGTATGTAT